TCATATATTTATATATTTATATATATTTATATATGTATATATTTATATATGTATATATTTACATAGAAATATGTATTTATATATATATTTATCTTTATATTTATTATATTTATATATAATAATCTGATACTGCAAACGTGAATTCACTCTCTGTTCAGCGCTCCAATACACAGGAGTTGTGGGTTATAAATGGAATAAACTTTGGAATTATTTTCCCAATTTGCCCACAGCAGTATTCAGCTTTTCTAGGCAATGTCACTCAATAGAGAGTGGGATAATGTAGAAATTCTCACTATTTCCTAGCCTGAATAATACCAATATTATAATCATTGTCATTTCTTGCTGATAGTAAATAAAATTCATTTTAAGTGGAAGAAACCTAATTTTGTGAATGTATTTACGAGCATAACTTAAATAAATATAAGAACACTGAAAAACTGTTTAATTTCCTGTAGTTGCAAACTGAATTTACCGTTATTTCACCCTGGGGTCGAGCAGTGAGGACACAACACTGAGGGCTCACCAAAAATCATTACAAGAATCATTTAATTTGATGGAAATTTCCTCGTAAAAATACTCCCAAAATCTGTGGGATATCTTTTCCATAATATTTTCTGGGATGCTAAAATCTGGGGGATGTTTCTGCTGCTGTTTCTGCTGCCCAATTAAAAGGTTTTCTCCAGATTTTCAGGTTCAAATACTTTTATTGGCATAAATCAGATGTGCACAATAATGTGATTTTTTGTAGATTAGTCCCGGAAAATATGAAAGCAAAATATTCCCCAAAACCTGTGGATTCACCTCCCTTTTCCTCCGCTGAGCTAGAAAAATCAGAACAGAAAAATCAGCAGCAATAATAACAACGATAAAATCAGAATTTTTCATGTCAGGGCTGCAATGCAGTAAAAGAAATCTTGTGCTTTTTCTCACCAGAAAGGTGCAAAAATTTGATTTTAGGAAATTCAGGGTGACACAGGCCCAGCTCTCGGAGGAATAACTCGGTAATATCAGAACCTGCTTTGTGCATTAATTTAATGAGCTGGGCTCTCCTGACAGTGCTCTCATCTCTGTTGGTAGAAATGACATTTTTTGCTGTTATTGCCGGGGTTTTATCTGGTAGGAATTGCAGGGAAATTCAGTGTACCCCTGAGGAATCCCATCCCAGTTCTGTTCTGCATCTCCCCTGGCGAGGAACATTTGCAGATGTGAAATGCAAAATTTTCCACACAAGTTGCTCCTTTCTGCTTTCCCAGGATTCTCAATCCCGGGCCATCTCCGTGTGTAAAATCTGATTTTTCTTGATTTCCTCGTGCCATCGAGTGACCTCGGTGTCAGCAGGAAGGAAAGGCACAGGGAAATTTCTGACTGCTGTTTTAATATCTTTTATTTAAACACAGAGTTCTGCTGTGGAATGGTGTGCACCAAAACACAGGCTGAATTAAAAGGCTTTTATCAGTGCAGTGTGTGAAATGATTTTATTTATTATATAGCATATATACAATGAAATAAATGCAATATTTACAATGAAATATATCATATATACAATGAAATATATATAATATATACAGTGAAATATATACAATATATACAATGAAATAGATACAATATATACAATGAAATATATAAAATAGACAATGAAATATATAAAATATATACAATGACATATATAATGAAATATATATAATATATATTATATAATATATATAAATATATATAATTAAATCTCTAATGAAATATATACACATTGAAATACATATAATATATACAATGAAATATACACAACATGTACAATGAAATATATACAATACACACAATTAAATATATATTTCACTATTGTGAAATTATAATATATATGATAGTGAAATTATTATCTATAAATTAGCAGTGAATTATTAAATAGAAATTATAAATATGAAAACATCCTGGTTAAATACCTGCAGGTGCCTGGGGTGGAAATCCCACACCTGCCTTACTCAGAGAACATAATTCTTGATTATAAATATAGAATTTTCATTTTAAATATAAAATTTTCAGTGTGTAGGATGCAAATTACACCTGGAATTAACAGTATATTGAGAAAACAAAAATCTATCTTGTTTCCCAAGTAAACTATGGGATGTTGTTCATTAACCTTTACATCTTCTTACTCACTTGGAATATCAAACTACCTGGTGGTCCATCGAGGAAAAATGCCAATATTCATTTCATGGAAAAGTTTAACAGAAGAAAATTCTGAGGTTTATCCACTTCCAGAGCCTTAAATTATCCCAATTCTGGAATTGCCACAAAAATTTGGCCACTGAAGTGGCTGGGACTCTTTGCTTGGTGGCAGCACGACACCTAAAATATTGATTTGGACTCCACCTCTCCAGGGCATGACATATTTTGGGAGACAGAGATTATTCCAAAAAGATTTTCGCAGTCATTTTCCAGGTGTGAACTCCCTGAAAATTGGGAAATGTCCGAGGTACCAGAGAACAGCCAGAGAAAAAAACTGGAAATGCTCCTGACACCCAGAGCTGCTCCCTGCAGTGATCTTTGGTTTAGCCAGGAGCAGCACTGCAGGTGCAGAGCCCTGGCGGTGTTCGTGGGGTATTTCTGTATTTCTGGGCAATTAATGCCTCACAAATGTCAAAATCTGGGGTATTGATGATTCTGAGATTGTAAAAGTCTCTGTCTGTCAGCCCCCCTGCCAAAGCAGAAGCCATAATTGGTCTGTGCTGGTTTCCAGGTTGTTTATTCTGTTTCTCTCTCACATGTTCTGCTGCCCTGCCCAGCTCTGTCCTGCAGGGCAGCGTGTGGGGCTCTGCCCTCAGTGGGATGTGACAAACATTCAATACCAGAAACTCCCTGGGCTGCATTTACAAGAACGTGCCAATATCTGTCACCTACGTTGGACAGTGTGTCCCCAGCCTGGACCAACAGAAAAATGCCAACACCACAGTGAGACATGGAGGGCATGAAGAAGGAGAAAAGGACAAGGCACACCCAATTTCCTCCATCTTGTCCCTTTGGACCCCTTATCTAGAATCCTAAAATTTTACTTTTGCAGCCGTGCCACACTTAATTATTACTGATATCAAACACTCAGAGCTGGTAATTGATCCTGTAAGATTGAAAACTCTTTTGCATGGGCAGAGATCACAGCCAGTGTCTCTGGGGGCTCTGTCCAGGGGGTTCCTGACCCCTGCCAGGGTCCCAGGGCAGCCAGAGGGAAGCCCTGGATTCCCACACACAAATTCTCCCCTTTTCCAGAGAATTCCAGGAAAATGGAAATATGACCTCAGCAGTCTGGAATTGCTCTGCAAACTGGCAGCGTTCTCACAAACCTTCCTCAGATCTGGGCACAAATTGATAAAAAGCAGCAGCGAAGCAATCTTAATTTTCTTCTTCATTAATTTTTACTCTGTTTAGCAGCTGTTTTGTGTCTGTGGTGCAGACTGTTTAATTTGCATTAAGCAAAAGGCTGCAAAATTGATTTATACATTTGAATGCCTCGCATTTTCACTCTGAGGCACTTTTGGATGCAGAACATGACAGGTTTAAATTCAGGATTAAATCCTTAGGCCAGGTTT